CGCTGTTCATAGCGTACGTCGTATAATGCCTTTGAGCTGGCGAGAAAGGGGATGAGAGCGAGAGAGATGATCGATGAAGAGAGAGGCCGGGGATTCGAGGATGTGGCAATTGATGGCCATGTAGGAGGAGAGGCTTGGTTAGAACGTGTCCCATTACCTTGTGTCCTTTCTATTGAGAAAAGCCGATTTGTGTGTAGCGTGTGGTTGCATAAGTGCGTATGAGTCCGTTTGCGACTGTAATTACGATTAATTGGCGCAATCAGCTGAGTGCGAGATCTGAGGTACACTTATGGAGGCGGCATCTTTGACCCTCACTGCCACGTGTCGTGTATCCTGAGGATTTGTAGCCACGTAGTAGTTGTGAGCGGTTGCTGGGTACACCTTCCACACTTCCTACAGGTTACCCAGCAATGGCTGCATTAGCTTGGGGCAGGTCGAGGTCGCTTCGACCTTCTTCTGTCTTTTTTGCGTTTATACGTTTGAGTATTATTTGGAAAATTATCCTAACGTCAAATTCTTGAATTATTTGTTCAAAGTTAATTATGAAAATCGAGATTATCAGGTAAGTTAAAATGTTGCTTACAGAGGCGTATCTGACAACTTTAATCGTCAATATGGACTCTTGCGAGAATTAGAAAATTTTTATTTGAATTTATATACTTAATATTTTCTAATTTATATTACATTCTAATTGATTTAGATTAGCGCCTAACTAATCAACGGATAATTATTATTTTTATCCTGTTTTTCAGTATTAACTATTTCTTCTATATTCATAATGAAAAATCCATTTCAAACGTAATAATAATAATAATAATAATAATAATAATAATAATAATAATAATAATAACAATAATAAGTATAATTTATTATTACATTGAATATATAATATTGTGAAAGAAACATTTTACCAACAATATATTATATTGTTTGAATATAAATTTATATTGTATATTGCACATTTAAAAAGTAGGACAGAATTTAAATTATTTTTTATAGGCTTAATAACTTAAAACAATATTTAGGAATTGAAAATAATATTTTAATTCCTTGTCCATGCTATTCAATAACTTCTATATAATTTTAATATTTTTAATTAAATATTTATATAAATTTATATATAATAAATAACGGTAGTCTAACGTTAAGGAATAATTTATATTTAATACTTAAACGATTGAGAATATTTCGATGAAAAAATTCGATTTAAAAAATTTCTGAATTCATTCTCATTTAAATATAAATGATATTTAAAGTGTATCCGATTAATTTATTGAAATAACTTACTTGAAATAATTGCATTTGTAATTTAATTGTTTATTTATTTATTTATTTTTCTTTTTTTTTGTTCAGATTTTTCAACGATTTTTTACATAATATTTTTTTTCTTATTTAGAAATAATTTTGTATTCATTAATTATTTTCTAATTCTTTATTATTACTTTCATATAATTTATATATTACTGTAGGTAATATGATTTATTTTAAATAGAAGTAATTAATAATTTCATAAATTGATAAAGGCTTATTGTAAATAATAATAATAAAAAAAAAAAAAAATAAAGAATTATATTGTTTATTACGAAAAAAGGGTATTGAATATATATTTTTAGAGTCATGTATTTTGAAATTTAAATTTTAAATATTTTTTTAATATTATTACCGGTGCTATTTAAACGGTATTTTTATTCATATAAGTTTGGAATGCAATTAGTGGCATTCATGTATAGATTATATTTTATAGATTATTCAGTTGATAATTAGCCTATTATTCCATTGGCCAATTAATAATTTTTATTAAAAATTGGAAGTATCGTGCTTTCTATTCATTATTTCTATCAATTTAGAAAATATTGGATAATATAGATTGTTGTGTTGTGATTATCTTGTTTTGCCATTATGAATATATTCTTATAGTTTATAAACATAGGTACAATATATAAATATTTCTAATCTAAGACAGATCAATTATAAACATATAGATTTATCATAATTGATCTACGAGAATCACGACTTGAATTTTTATTACGTAATCTTGAAAATTTCTGTTCGTGACAAAGTCTATTTCTTGCTTTCGAAGCAGATTTCAAGATATTAGAATTTGAAAAAGTAGTCACAATTAATACATAGCTGTAAATATTTCGAAAATTTGTAAGTAAAATGATTCAATTGAAACATTAACATAATATAATTTTTTAGCGAAAGTTTATTTAAATTCTTGCAAATATCGATATATCATATCATATCATATCAATCATATCATATATATATATATATATATATATATAATAGTAATTTTGTGCAGCTGTGTTATTTTTATTTTTTTACAAGTATTCATATTCTTTACTGATTGTTCTTAAACTCGTCAATAATGTGATTATGTAAGTCATTAAATCATTATATTAAAAGTACATATCTTCTACATAATATCGATTATTTCATACTACAAAATAAATATTTTTCTATTTATAGCATAGTTTATTTATTCTTTGACTTGAAATTTATTCGTTTATTATGATTCTGACAATATTTATATCACTTGAATTACTTTGTATATTTATATGTCAAGTATATTAATAATATATGAACTGGTACGTTATATAATTCGATTAATTTCTTTTCATTTTTAACATATCTTGTAAATATATATAAAAAATTCGATAGTTTTATATATTTATAAAATTATAATATGCAATATGAAGGAAATATAAATGATTTAGATACGTAAAGTAACTAGAATTGTTGTATTCTTATAAAAATTAGCGATTTAGATGCTGATATATATTAATGATGTATGTTATCTGAATAATCAACCTATAATAAAACTGATAATAAATATTAATTTTATGTACTTTTTCATATGTTTTTAAATTATTCGTCGAAATTGCGTTATATTTTACATTATTAAGAGAATAGAATTTACTTTTTCTTGTTGTTATTCTTATTTTAATTGCTATAAAGTCAAACATTTTATGTAAATTTATGAGACACTGAATCAATAGTTGCACGTTTGTTTGTTTGTTTTTTGTTTTTTGTTTTTTTTTCATACGTATTTCCATATTGTAAGTAAATGGAAAAAGAATTAGCAATTCAAATACATTTCCGTGATGGTGCTTAGTTTGTCAATATAAGAGGTATTAAAATAATAAATAAAATGGAATATGTTAAGTAGCGTAGTTAATACAATACATATTATGGATTAATAGCTTATAAAATTGCCATATGATTGGTTAACATTAATGTAGGAATTAAAATATTCTTAAATGTATATTTTAAATATCGATGTATTTTATTATTATCATTGGGCCATATTATTGTCATGTTGCAATGTTAACAATTGGTTTTTGGCTATAAAAGCTGTGCTTTTTTTTTTTTTATAATTTTGTAATTTTATTAGAAAGATTTTGCTGTTTCATTGCATGTATTGATCATATAAATCACAATCTTCTTCATTACTAACATATGTGTACATTGAAATTAAAAAGAGAAAGGGTGATAATATTATACGAGGTATTTGTTTGTGCTATTTTTTTTGTTTTTTTGTTTTTATTTTTTTTTTTATTTATTTTTTTTTTTTTAATAAAATTATCAAACTAAATGGATCTGCTGGTGGTAGATATTATTTTATTTTTGTATTTTATCGTAATGAAATGGAAAAATATATATTTAAATTCAATATTTTGTCTTAAAAATATAAAAATTTTGTTTGAATGAATTTTACCTTTATTATCGTTATCGATTTATGTAAACTATGTGATTGGTGAACTATCTTTTATATTATTATACGTAGGCCTGTGAATGTCATTCTCACTCTCTCTCTCTCTCTCTCTCTCTCTCTCTCTCTCTCTGTCTTCGTTTGGCAGTGATGCGCGAGCACGGCAGTGTGTGCACAGGGGCGCCTCTCGTATGTGTAAGGGCGCGTGCAAATTTTTTAATGTTTGCCTTTGTTGATTAACGGGAAATATTAATATATAAGGACGACGGGAGCAGATATTAAAAATTAGCTTTAGCATAGGAATGAAAAGATAGATTATCAGTGATGTAATTAGTTAGAATTGTGGAGGAAGAGGTGAAAAATGAGCCATAGACTAATTAAACGTCGGTCAAAATAATGTTTAGTTATATTTGTCGATAATTTATTTTCGTTATACAATAAATTGCTTGCAACATAATTATATTGTTCATTGGATAATTTTCACAGGTTATTTTTAATAGAATTTTTTTTTGTTTTTTTTTTGTGCTTTTTTTTTCTTTTATTTTTAATTTATTAATTTATTTATGTAATTTTTTTTTTTCATCTTTTCTTTATATTAATTTTTTAAACAGACATAAATTTTAGATACAATAACTCGATATATAATATTACTTTTATTTCATGAAATAATGCATCGTCGAAAAAAATACTTCCATAATAGCAGTTGAGATTGAGAACGTTAAGTTTGATTAATTGTCTAATATACGCTCATATGGTGAGGACATTTATAAGTTTATTCATTGTTTAACATATAATAACACTTAAACACCCAATCAGCATTACATTATATAGCGTATATTTGAAGTTTTGATTCTTATTCTATAATCGGAATAGCCATTCAGGCTCTCGCTTTTATTACACGTAAATTGATAAATTCATCATTATCCGTAGTCTCGTTGCAAAAGAATAATGTGAATGAAATAGTTCGTCGATACGATCTTGCACATTAGTCGACCGAGAGCACCGCTGCGCAATGCGAATGTTATTAATCCGATCAATGAAAGAATCAGCGAAAAATTAACGATCGTGAAACCGAGGGCAGGAGATATAATCGCCGTCGAGCGAACATTATAAAAATATCGTTTTTCGGTTATTGTTTCGAAAATATTTTGTACTTTAGAGCGCGCGACGAATTCATGTTGCCGGCAAGTTGTCGCGGAGGTTGTCGCTGGCGAAAAGGAGGCGAAGGAAGGCTATGGAAAGATAAACCAGAAGTTGAAACAAGGATGGTTGGGGGGTTGGATTGGGGGGGGGGGGGATTGCGAGGCGAGCATTTGCTTAACTTCCGTCTCTACGTATTAGCTCGCGGCTGAAGGATTAACGAAAATTACAGAAATTACATGTCCCGGGATATGTATCGACAGTTAGCATTGTTGTGCCTGTGAAGCGGCCGTGACCGCATTGTCACCTTAAGAGTTCGTGTGGGGTCGTCTTGCGATCCACTCGCTGATCGCCGGGATGCCGTGGACGCGCTGCTTGAGGCTCCTCAGGGCCGGATAGCTCTCGAGGGCAGCCGGGCCGAACATCTGCTCGAAGTTCTCGAGGGCAACGGCGAATACAAGGTCGGCCCACGTCGTCTAAAACAACGCTCGTACATTTCATTACTTTTGGCAATTGGCTGGCGAGGATCTCGCGGGACGAAGGCAAAGGAGGATCACTCACGCACACACACTCCTCTCTCTCACTCACTCTCTCTCTCTCTCTCTCTCTTTCTCTCTCTCTCTCTGTCTCTCTCTCTCTCTCTCTCTGTCTCTCGATACTGTGTTGGTATTGTACGTGAATTTTAAAGGTGAGCTCGTAGTGGTGTGACAATTTTGTTGAAAAGTTATAATAAAGTAGAGGGAGGCAACTTTTTTTTTTTTTTATTACGGCTCCCAGTAAAGTAATTAAGAAATTCAATCGTTCTTGAAGCTTTTTATCATATTCTTTATTAAAAATATTAATTAAAATAATCTTTGAAAGTTGGTATCTTTGAAAAGTGACACAGATATTCTCGAAATTTAGCTTATCGGTACTATGGGTGTTACTTACATTTATTTTCGTATTTATTTAATGCAGTAGTATCGTATGTAAAATTACGGAGAAAGAAAAGATCAAAGCTCCGGGATAAATTATTACATAATGCGCGTAATTTTAGAAAAATATAATATTCACAAGGGAAAATGACTAATGAAAAATAAAATTAACTTTGTCGTGTTGTTGATTTTAGCGTGGGATCTTATTTAAAGCGTAATTAAAATTTTTAATATTAAACTTTATTATTACTGTAACGTGGTCAGGCAAAAGTCGAAACTGAACGAAATTTTTTTCATAAATTTATCATATAACGATTATTATTATTATCATTATTTTTTTTTATTTTTTTTTATTTTTTTTTTTTTTTTTTTTTTTTTTTTTTTTTATGAAAATTCTATTATTAAACTATTATAATTAAATGCTAATTCTGTACAGACATCCGTAAATCGTTTAATACGTGATTCTGAAAATGCGTTAGAGTTTAAATTTAAAGCGCCGAGTGAAAGAAGCATTTCGCCTTATTTAAATCATTTTAATAAAATTCAAGTTCAATTCTGAAAATGGGTAAAAGTAAGAAAAAATAAATGGAACTCACTGTTGAACCCACAGCGTAACCATTATTTTTACCAATGGTTTGTTCAAATTTACTCAGGAATAAGGGTATCGTTTCTTTTACGAATTTCGCCTTCTTTTCTTCCTTCTTAAATAGATCCTCCTCCTTTTGAAACTGCAATAGTTCTGTAAAAAAAAAGAAAAAAGAGAGAGATAATGAGATTAGATTGTGTTAAAATTATCCTATACTTATCTCAATGCTTAATCCCTTATCTGATTTTTGTTCTTTTGTTTATTCGCACGAATGTTTGCTGATCGACAGAATTCATTGGTCATCAGAAATGATAAATGGATTTTCTCACTTCTACAGATTCCATTTATGAATTTCATGTAAATCCGATTTACTCATTCTATAAAGTTGAAGATTTTGTTTGTAATACGAATTCAATGTTCTATTTAATTCTAAATAAACATAGGAAGAAAATCGTAATCCACAGTTTGCACTTTATTACAACTTATTGTCGAATTGTATAAATTCAAATTGACAAATAGCAATTTCCTATGTCTTTATAATAATACTCCATTGAAATAAGTTACATTTGAAATAATTGTGATAATTTTTGATAACTGAATTATCCATTTTATGCAAAATAAAGATATGATATTTCCACATTATTTCTCGATTTTTTTATGGTAGAGTAAAAAATTTGCAAATTTAGCCTCAACTACACGATACATAAAATCACTTTAATATCAAGATTATTTTACTAATTTATTATAAAATTAAGAATGAAATTTTTAACTTATTCATTGAGACGATGTGACGTTGTGCATTTTAACATTGATTTTATATTTAATGCAATGCATCATAAATTATACTTGATTTAAATCAACAAAATGGAACACGATAATGTGAAATGAATATTTAAAAAAGAAATTTAATAGTACTTTAATAGTACTAAAATTCCAGGAAAACTGTGAATTTTTTCCAACTCATTAAACTAATACATTTACTAAATCAGCGAGGCTAAGCTTTTAAAACATTAATGGCTATTGTTAAACTTCGAAGATATCATGTTATCTTAAAAGATATTATCTCATTCCGCGCGAAATAGTATTTTTAATAGTATTTTTTACTTCCTATAAAACTTTCTCCTCGGTTTATTTATGGCCTGTAAATAATTATAAAAGTTATAAAAGCTCGATGGCAATGCTATTATCACGATAGGCTTGTCATTATTCATAGGCGCATTATCATTTTCATTACGACGTCATTAGCTAAGTTTTTCACTGGAAAAACTGAACAAGTCGTCTTCATCCGTGCGCTAAACGAAGATAAAATTGACGAGACTTTAACTTTAAGCTCGAATATATACTCTCTGCTTTCTAACTTGCGAAGTAGCTATCCGAATGACCGACTGCCTTAAGCTAAAGCCAATTGGCCACCACAACTCACCCTGTCTGAGGTCCCCGAGGCTGTCGACGAGGATGTCGCAGAGCATCGATTCCCACTCGTCAATCCCGGCGAGTCCGTACTTGCGCCCGAGGTATCTGGCGATGGCGTTACTCTGGGGAATCGGCTGACCATCGACCTCCAGGACCGGCAACTGCCCGAACGGCATCGCTGTGACATTGCAACGCGTTAATTAATGGTTGGCGAGCGTTTACACATACGATTTGGACTGGATCAAGCAAAACTTGGGTTCGCTTAAGCTTAACCGAGTGCACACTCGCATTAGAGTCCACTTTTAAACGGCATTGCATTGGGATAATCGAATGTCTCGTTATTGAGTAATTGGGCGATTGTTGATGATTGTTGAACCATCATATCGTTTCACAGTGTTTTGCCATCGATTTGTAAAAAAAAGGCACCGGACGCTTATATTGACAATTTGTTTATTACGTCGAGGCTAGGCGAAGAGCTTGAAAATATATTTATCTTTAAACACGGATCTTAATGTACCCTCACCACCTCATAATCCTATACTTGGAAAATATTTAGTAGTTACTCGAATTTCAAAATTAGTACTTAATAACTAAAGTTCAGTTCAACGAGAGTCGAGAAATTTGTCATTTTACTTATAGTATACTTTGTGTCATATTACGTTAAACATATTAATCTTATTTAGCTTTCATACTACGCATTGATAAATCATCTTTACGTTATTATTTATCAAATTTCAGTGACAATATGCACGTAGGTCGGGAGCACATTAATTCTAAATTTAGAATATTATTTATAATTCTCGTAATTTCATTACAATAAAGTATTTAATAATCATATGCAACCTGCTTATTAATTTTTAATTTAAGCTAAATTTAGTATTGAGCGGGTTAGCAGTCCCGTATTTGTATTAATAAATGGATAATTAGCATTAAGCGCCTATCGCACCTACTAATGAATAACGAATGTGATAAATTTTCCCTACCAAAGTCATTTTACTTGATTATTATATTACATTAATAGCAGCGCTTATAGTGCATTACAAAAATGATTGATATTTTTACTTTTACCTGTAGCACGACTGCTTTTTACACTCTGTCGATGTTTTCTCACGAGGCTAATCTTATTATTTATGCCAATTTACAATACTTTCTCATTTAATTATTTATAAATTAATGTGCATTTACATAATTGTGTATTATTCGTTTATTTCCTAATGAAATTGCCAATTTTTCTTTTAAATATCTGCAAATATGTCGTAAGCAATTCACAAAAATATATAAATGTTTCGAGCAATAAAGATGAATCGCCGAAATTTTTTCCTCATTCTTGTTCGAACATATAATATGTGATTACTCCTTTAAGCTATTTATAATTTATATATTTATTTTGCGACGATAAAGGCTATTGCTCGAGTCTCAAATCTAAACAATTTTAACAATAACTGATTAATCCCTTAATTATCAATATTATTAATTTATTAATTTATTAATTTTCTACGATATCTAATGTTTTAATTAAATTTTTCTTCTTTTTTTTTGTTTGTGTTTTTTGTTGTTAATTGCAACGATAGTCACTGAAATGTGCTCTTAGTACAATACAAATTTCTACTGATTTTATCGATAGTCTCTAGACTCGTACGATTTTATATTCGCTAATTAATTTGTAAAAATATGTCAGCATAAATGACTAAAGACTGATTAAAGATCAAGAGGTTACTACCTTGAAGCTGGCTTGCAACGGCTTAATGTAATTCTTATTTTTTATCATAATTATTGTATGATTATTGAAAAGTTTAGAAAGATAAGGGCGCCTATTAAATAATTAACATGATTTATCATATAAACGAATAATCAATGTAATAAATAAAATATTTGATAATATGGAGAAGAAAATACAAGATATCTTAAAGAATCTAAATGAATTTTCTTCATTGTCCTGTACGATTCCTTTTATTTTTACATTATTTAAGGACACCTTATTCCATCGAATATCTTCTAAGTCTAATATTAGATAATTACGGAAATTTTCATTTTTTATTTAGTGCTTATTTTGTTTCAGTGCGATGATTTCTTTTCAGATTACTTATAAAATAATCAAAAACTAATGGGGTTACTTTCCTAAATTCTTTAATGGTAGGTTTGAATAAATTTATACATACACTTGTGTTGTTATTAATTTATTAATAACTTATTAATAGTATGATAAATATGCTTCGTAATGTCGAATAAACAAGGTTGTGATGTTAAAGAAAATGTTTAAATCGTAGTATAAATCTTATAGACAGCAAGATTTGCGATATCTTAGATTGTTATATCTATTATTGAGTTTTAGTAAAATAAGTTTTGAATTTTTCGTCTTAATAAACGATTCCTATAAAGAATTTATAAATATATATAAAAAAAGTGGATCATAATTTAGAAATTAATAAATATATTTATTTTTATATTTTTATAATATTTGTTTAATATTATTCTTTTTAATATTATTTTTGTAACTGAATTTTTCTTTAAGATTGGACGAAATAAGATTATTTATGGATATATTTGCCGCATAATTAATAAAATTGTAACATTAATACGTAATATTTAATTTGCAAACTACTTGACTGCGGAATACTTTCAATCAATTTATTTAAAATAAATAAATTTACGCAAAAAATTTTAATTTTTTGTCATTTGGTAAAAAAATCTTTATCTCTTTTTATCAATGATTATTAGGGAATATAAAGTACATTTGTGTCATTTGCTTTATTAATATTAAATAATTTATTATATTTCTTAAGTATTTTTCTTTTCAATGACACATGCAATCTATTAAATTTTTTTTATTTCAATCAAGAATAATAGTTTGTGGTTTTAGAACAATATTATTTTAAATTAATACAGGCGTTCGTGAATTACATATCAAAGTTAATGGCACGTCACAAATGAATGTCTTTCTAATAAAAATATTTTCTTCGTATTAATTATTAATTGTAACACGATTAAACATCCTGACTATTATAAAATCATTAAGATCGCAAAACTATTACGTTTTTTTTTCTTTAGTGGCGACGAGGGAGAACAACTGTTAAAGCAGAAAAAAAATCTTATAATACTCTTGAATGTTATTCTATAGAGATACGTGTTTCAAACGCTTAAAAATTTTCTTCAAAAAAAAAAAAAAAGGTATTCCGTAGCGTTAATTCTTGCGCGAGTTTATTTTCGTAGTATTACCGAGATAAAGTTTATGTGCTTCAAATATTACAATGTTCAACAAAATTTTTATATTTTGCAAAATTCTGTAGTTACGAACGAATCAAGTTTATATTTAGTTTCGCTTATCAAATGACTTTGCAATGCCATAATAAACAAGTTAATACAACATGTTTCCAAGATTTATCATTTGTTTGTTAAAATGAAACGTTAAAATAAATTCCCAATATAATATTCCAATGAAATTGGATAGTGTAAAATTTGTTACATTAAGATACAATTAATAATCGGCAATCTTCAAGCAGACATTTTGTTCTCGTTCTCTTGCATATTATTTTCGAGCGGAAAGCTTGCGTTTTAAGCAAGAGGAGGCTTTGGAAAATCAGGCATAAACTGTTATGAGGGATTATACGTCCTGAAAACCAAATAGTAGGTAATAAAAAAAAATTCGACGGGCAAATTGCGGGCTGCGGTAATGGAGCAATGAATCGAGCGATTAAATTGGAAACTCGTTATTGCGAGAATTTATGACGACTTTATATCCGTCTATCTCTATTTTTCGGCTCGAATAATCAAGAGCTTTCTACTCTGTGCACCGATTGGCCTTCAAAAGCCGACGATCCCCGTATCTTTTAATTGTACCTCTAATCCATCTCTCTTTGTTAAAATATGGCTTTGCCGGGCCAGAACGAGCGACCAGAGCGTTGCGAGCGATTTTCATTGGACTCGAACAATTCCTAGTCCCATTAATGAATGAACTGTTGCAGAATTCAGCATTAGTGGCTTCTGCTGGCCCATTAAATCTGGCTTTCTTATTTAATTCCATTCGTCCGAGACGCGTCCGCTTATCCCGAGTTCGCGAATCTGCAATCTTTACGAGCGAACATAATTGTTACAATATTCGCGAAGGCGCTAGTCGCATTGGCGTCGGTACGCGCCCCCGCCAATTTCCCACCTCTTGGACGTGACGTCGAGAGCACGCAGCCTCCGATCTTTATCCTTCAACTCGGTGTTATTGCGCTACTGCTTATGTACTACTAATGCTGTCGCTTTGCGCGGGAATCGATAGTTTGCAAAGTTTGGCGAGCTGATGTTCGCTTAGCTGATTCGGTAGGAGAATGGATGAGATGTCCGTTACGGGCTGATACTCGCGTAAATCAGCGTTTATTTTCGATATTGCTATGCGAATAAATCAATTGCTTGCGAAGAGGGGGGGGGGATGCAATTTTGTTCTATTCCGGCGTGGTATTGTGCATTTAGTGAAATAAGAAATTGTAGGCTGAGTAAATGAATACTTTGTATGCGCAATCGATTGCATACTGATACTCTGTACGTGCAATTATGTAAAAATTTGTTATTGTCCTTTGTAAAGTAACGTTATTGTTCGAGTGATTATTCCGTGGAAATTTTGTTTAACTGCGTGAATAATAAGTCCAGTAAGATTATAAATTTTTTCTTTTTCTTAACTACCTAAATACTCAAGACCGATATTTATTATTATCTTATAAAATTTTTAAATACAACTACAGTGCGCCTATATATTTATGAAATATAAGTAGTTCTCTCCATAATCTATAGTCATGCATTGAAATATTGCTGTAAAGAATAATTATTTAATCGAATAATTTGTAAATCTTATACGTAATTGTTTAAAATTATGTAAAGCTAACGTTTTATTTTTGGTGATAAGAAAGTCTCATGTTAGGGCATAGTTTAAAACAATATAACTTAATTATTATTAATGAATTATTTAATTAAAGAACAAGCAAATTTTCTAGTCCGCAGCCTCTTGTTAAATTTCTTCTTAATTAAAGTATCAATGTAAAATTAGGACGAAAAGAACCGCTTGTCTATGGAGTGATGTATCCCCCCCCCCTGGAGTTGTTGACGATTTTTTTGTTTGTTTTATTTTTATTTATTTATTTATTTATTTATTTATTTTTACTGAGTAACGTAGCCAGCTATTAAGTAAGGCACAATTGAACATATGTAGGTTAAATGCTTGTTAATTAGATTTTACCATTGTATTCATAGTTTGTTATTCCAAAGTCGTCTGTCATTGGTATTAAACATTCATATATAATATGGCTATTAAAAATAAAAAAATTAATAATTTGTATAATTGAATAAGTTTCGTAACTGCAGGATGAGACGGGAAATTTTGCCTTTTAATCATTTTATTATCACCTATTTATTAGTCTAGCAAAAATCGTGCGCTTGTGTTTATTTCTTGGAGCGTGATATATAATTGAACCGTAAACCGATGATCATGAACGATATTCTTGTGTTTGCAATTTGAAATAGATTAGCCTCTCTTCTCCCGCAATACCCATACAAAATAGTCTTCTTCGATGTGCAATAAATTGATTCGTAATAAATGCCCGGGATGAATGTGTCGATAAGAGCGACGAGGACGAATGCGCCTGGACGAAACGCAGTTTCTCGGGACTTACATTTTTTCAACTCGGGCCAGCGCTCCTTTGGTACTCTTTCGTCGATGTAATCCACCCCGGCGTAGGCCAATATGTAGCGGATGTGTTCGGCTCTGCCTCGAGAATTGAAGTAGATTAGTTTGTAGCTTGGCTGCTCCTCCGACATTATCCTTATCTGCTTTAGATAGATTTAGATTGTTACCAGTCGCGCTTCTGAAACCAAAGTAAAACGTCTCAATAGTATTTTCTCTCTTCCTCTATCTGCTCACAATTTTCTTTTCTCATTCAATTATTATTTTTTACTTGTTTTCAGGCATTATAATTGTTCTAGAAAAGTATATATTTTTATTAAATAGTATGTGAAATTTAACATTAATTTATAATCATCATAAGTATATTTACTCTATTAAAGAATGTTTTATTCTATTTGTGGGAAATAACATTGTGTGTCGAATAATTAAAGCAGGGGTTTTTTTTTTTTTTTTTTTTTTTTTTTTTGACAATTTGGAGAAAAACATTATCCTTAAAAGTAACCTACATTTAAATAAATATTTTAGAGCATTTTATTCTAAAACGTTACAGCTTCACTGCATACATTTTTTACCCGACAATTGCAGAATATAAGCAAATTAAAAAGCGTTAATTTCCGTAGCAGATGAATATAAAAATATATTACCTTACTTTATTTATCTATCACAGATCAATCTATGGAGAATTATATATATATATACATATATAGACATGCTTACCTAATAGAAAATTATGGGTGTATACGCTTAATATATGAATAAATGTTTATTTTTTACTACAAAACTATATATTTATAATATAAGCGATATTCTGTTTTATGGTATTTAAATTAAGACTTGATAATATGTGGTCTGGAATGTTTTTAATTTATTAATAGTTTTTTATTTTTCATACTAAGCAAAATTTATAAAAAAAACTTATGTTGAACAACTAAAACAGAACATTACCTATTCAATAAACGGCTATGTAAAGTTTCATAACAGTTTACTTTAAGAATTATTTACTTTGAAACATCAACAAATAATAAGTGTTGGAATAGACATTATACGAATTATTGATTAATTAATTATTATTAATTAATATAACGAATTATAAATTATAAAATTATTTAAAAAGGGGAAATGCAAAGAGAGAGAGAGAGAGAGAGAGAGAGAGTGAGGTGGAGCAAAAATTATAAAAACAAGACACGTTTATAAAAAGATAAGATATAACAGAGAAAGCAAGAAAAAGATAGATTGAGAGATAGATAGATAGAGAGAGAGAGAGAGAGAGAGAGAGAGAGAGAGAGAGAGAGAGAGAGAGAGAGAGAGAGAGAGAGAGAGAGGTAGTGAAGAGGGCAGATAGCAGATATTTAAATAATTAAAGATAAAAAATAAACACGATCGAATAATATTGGTAAATTACATTTTGTTAGATTAGAATATTTAATAGATCGATTTCACATGGAATGCATACGAAAAATAATTCAATTACTTGTTAAATCTAATAAATAAATAAATAATATCTTCAGAATATTTTCTATAGTATAGATTTCTATCCGAACGTGAGGTATTTTCAAGAATTAAGAATGTAATTATAGTTCTTTAATATTTAAAATGGAATTAGTTTAGTATTTTTAATATTTACTGGAATAATAAAATTAAAAAATAAAATGAAAATGATATTTTTAAAAATTATAAAATAATAGTTTTTATTACCCTATCTTCAAGTTAAAGGTATTGCTTATTATAAATTCTATAATTTTCATGTGATTATTTTGTTCATTGAAGAAGAAAGGAAAGTAAGCGTAAAACGAAAATCCTATTTAAACGTAAATTTTACTTATTCAATGTACTATTCATTGATATATTAAAATTTTTTTATATCAAATGACGGTTTTCAATTGGTATTTTTCTGAAATTGATTAATCCATGTACATAATAATATCATTTTAAATACATGAACGTATAGAATACAGATCTGCTACTTATCACCATATATCATTAATAATTTTTCCCTATCAATTATTGACGTTATATTTTTCATTTAATGGATAAAGAATATCAAAATACATGTAAAATTTGCATTCGTTCTTATGTATTTGATTTTGTCACTTTCATGCTTAATTCTTGCGTTACGAAATATGAACGACGAATAAATAACTGATTATTTATTTAAGTGCTAACCGAAAATAACTTTTTTTTTTGTTTGCAAATATCAATTACAAAATTACAGCCTTCGACTCAAATAAAGCAAAATATGTAATTCAATATTTAATCATCCAAGAATATGAAGATAGTTTGCAAAAATAAAAAGTTTTAGAAAAATTTTATCCTATATATATTCGTTTAATTTCACGTCATAGAAGAAATTTGTATAATTATGATGTGTTATCGTGCCAAATATTTTGTTTAATGTTTTAATTGTAATACCTGTTTTAATTAACATATATATATATATTTATTTATTTATTTATTTATTTTTACGTAGTTACATATTGTACTTAGTTAATTACTAAATGTTACAGAAGTAGTTTTATTCATTGTTTTCTATAATTCAAGATTTTTTTTTTTTGGTTTAAAAATTCTTTCTCTTAATCAAAATAATAGAAATTTTTAATTAAATTTTATTAATTAAACCGTTACAACCTACAATAAAATGTATATGATAAATTATATATATAGTACCGGGAATAGATTGAAAAATATTTTTGATTATCCTATATATGATATTCAATATAAATAATTGAAAATTTTCTTTTAATTAGTACATTTTCTTATTATTAAGAAATTTCTGTTTATTGATTAAATAATGTAGTTTTAGTACAGTATTATTTATAAGGTAGTCGATTTACTTTGAATATAGTAAGTAATTAATTAATAATTAAAAATTAAGTTAAAGATGTGGATGGATAATGAATTTTATTGAATTACTAAAAAATTATGGTGGAAAAAAGTAGTCGTACTTGATATTATATAGTCGCGTTTGAAATGTTTTGTATAAAATTAAAATATTAAGCAGACAATCAAACAAAACAAACAAGGACTTGTAAGTCCAGTAGAAAGAAATGAATGGATGTTTTTCATAAAAAAATGTCTATTGTAAATAGAAACAATTAAAAAAAAGGACCGAGCGTTTTATCCAGTTTATTGTATACAAAGCAAAACGCTAATGAACTTGTATTTCCATATTTTGATAAATCAATATGTAACGTATGTAATTTATTGTGGATATAATTATCTTATTTACAGTGTAGAAATATTTTTTAAATAACGTCGGTAATTGACTGTCAGTTAACTGATTTGACACAGTAACACCTACTACGACGTCACTTTTAAATAAAATTTAATCCTAAAGGCGATTATTATTTAGTACATTTATCATATATTTTATAATGTAAGTGCTGTATCACATATTAATAACAAAAAACTTTGTTATAATATAAATTACAGATGGAAATTACGATTAAATTTTTGTGATGTTATTAGATTAGATATAAGAGAAAATGTTTGTACAATAAATTATCCTTAATTACCTCAGTATGAATGTAAATTTATAAATCAGAAGGAAGTTGTCCTATCCTGTCCTGTATTATAAAATATCATTCCTCCTTTATGTAATCATAAAATTCAAATTGTCCCATTTGATGCATATTATACAAAACTTATATCTATTTCTTTTATCGAATGCACTTTATGGTCTATATATATTTGTTATTATATTATTGCCTTTATTAGTCTTTGTATTTCAAGCTAATTCATATTTGAATTTATACGTCAAGTAAAAAATGTGCAATATACAAATGTAAGCGAACAGTAATTAAAAAATATAATAATAAATAAGTGGTGAATATCTAGAGTTACACAATGATGTAATTAAGGTACGACAGTGTATTTTGAATTTTTTGTCTTTATCAGTTTGTAACTTCAGACCACATTCAGCTGTTGTAGATTTGACTATAGACGTAAACAATGGAATACGTCTATTTTGTAACAGTAGGGCAAAGTAGTGGAGAGTCATTATCTTTCAAACCATTTCGACTGTAACATTGTAACCGAATAAATACAATTTGCGTATGAATCTGTTTGTTCGTTTCATCTTTATTCACCAGAGTACTTCATTATTACAGTTTTATTTTGTCCAATATTTTTTGGACAGAGTGGTTGAATTTAAACAAAACCTTTCACCAATAAGGACGAAAACTATATGCTAGAAGGTGAGATATTATTGTTCAAAATTTTCTTACTATTCCACTTAATACTCCAATCAACGTCCATGTATATATCTTATACTTAAGGGTCATTAAGTTTTTACATTTATCTTACATTAAAAGACACATTCTTACAAGATATAATTTTTTAATGATAATTTTTGTCTTCCTTATTGGATTAAAAAACCGTGGTGGTTGAAATTTTCGATTAGGAGGTTATTAATTAAATTACATATGCTTGGTGACATGAAAATTCAGATGAGAATGTTGTCATACAGTTACATCCTAATTACATAATATTATTTGAAAAACATGTAATGTAATATTTGTTTCGACATTAAAATATGCACTATCAAAATATTTCATAAATTGTCACATTTAATTTTAAGTTATAACCAATTTTGATAAAATGTATTTTACAATCATCAGTAGAATAACATAATTTTTTTTTTCATTCACTTAAATGCAAATAATCAACAATTTGATGAATAACGAGAAATAATACGTATTCATATGACGTATTGTTTTTATCTAGAAATTCAATTATCAATAAAATGACTTGACATTTTATTAATATCGGTTTTTAAATTTTATATTTTGCGAAAAATATATTATCACAACACATTAGTATACAACGAATTTATAAACATATATTATTTTAAAAATGTTTCTTATATTTTATAAGAGTACAATTAAAAGATCATGCATTATTTAATGATGATTTACACAAGAATTATTTTGTCTATATATAATTCAATAAAATAAGATTAATTCTGTAGATTGAAAAGGGCGGAGTAATAATATCATTCTTTCAGACAAAATTAGAAAAAGTTTATCAGCAAGGGAGCATATAGGACATCGTAAGTGAAAAATAAGAAAAATTGCAAATTTTTGTACGTTTAGGGTGGAGGACCGATTATTTATAAGTTGGATTTCTCTTTTTATTTCCTACAATCGATATGCGCGATGCTCTTTAAAATGTAAGA